AGTCACCTGTGGGTGGAAGAGCTTGAATGATGCGACTTCTGAACAGTTTCTAAACACTTCATAATGACTGGAGTGAGAGCCACTGGATGGATATCAGGGATGTTTGAGGACTTCAAGCAGAATGGGACAATGCTAAGAACAGGATGAATATTTTTGTAAAGGCGCCTGTGAGTTGGTCTACGCAGGACCTCAGCACCTCACTACTGACACATTCAGGTCCTGCTGCTTTTCTGGGGCTCACTGCTGCTAATATCAGGTCATGCTCCTCCACTGTAAAGGTGTAGCAGGTGTTGGCTGGAGGTGTGGTTTTTGTTGTTGTTGTTGTTGTTGTTTGCAGGCGAATAAGCAGTTCAGCTTCTTTGCCAGCACAGCATTACCATCAGGTCTGGGTTTGTAGTGATATTTTGGCTGCACCGTCCTCAAGTTATTGCTGCAGAGGTGGTCCTCAATTATATTTGTATAATCCAGCTTGCCCTGTCTCATTCCCATTCCCGGGTTTGCCTGGACTGTGCTGCACACCTCACCAGGCCTAAAGCAGTGTTTTTGCACAGTACTCAGTGTTTTGCTCATTTCTGTTGCGTCTGCACTGTCTCGTGTCTGTATCATGTCTTTGTTTTGGGGTTTTTTGTGCAATTTGTGTTGATTGTCTGTTATATGTCATATGTAGCACCACGGTCTTGGAGGACCGTTGTCTCGTTTCACTGTGTGCTGTGCCACTGCACATGTTGGAATGACAGTAAAGCCACCTGACTTGACTTGATGTATGCTTTATGTAGAAGAGTACGGATGCAGTATCCTCATCCAGGTCCTGAGATTCAACGATACTCCAGTCTGGAGTATCCTTTTAATAGTGTTTGAAGTAGAGGGCAGCGGTTTTCTTTACCTTGGTCCAACTGGCCCAAGTTTGTATGGCCCTGTATATCTTAATCTTTGGAATAGACTTTATCCAGTGTGTTTTTTTTGCCGTGTGTAACAGTTACAATGCTGATGGGATTTGGGGCGCACTAAAAGACTGAAGTCCCCAGCTATTATGTGTGCTGCTTCTGGGTATATTCAGCTACTAAGGACCAAGTTAGCTTTAGTATTTGTCAAATACTCAGCTATCCTGATCACTGCTGTGGTCAGGATAGCTGAAATCCCACAGTGGAGGACAAGGGGTCTGCATTTAACTGTCAAATATTCTAAGTGTGGAGGGCAGCGACTGTCTGCAGTCTAAGTATTATTGGCTCATTTTTCATGAATATAAATGCAAATATCTCCACGTCATTGTTTTCGTGAGTTCTGGTTTCAGTGTAAGCGGTGTAGGATATGACTCGTTAGCTTCACAACTGCATCAGTAATGCAGGATAAAGATGATCAAAGCGCAAGTCTATTGTCGTCCAACTGTAGCCTCAGCTCATCCGTTTTGTTCACAACAAACCTGACATTTGTGAGGAAAAGGCTAATGATGGAGTTTTGTGCTTAGCCTTTCCTACACACTGCAGCTTTGTTTCTGCTCCCTGTCCTGACGCGAGCACCTCCTAGTGAACTATGAACCCTGTGTTCTGGCTGGTATGTTGTAGGAGTGAAGAAATGCCTTTGTGAACGTTTGTTTGCTCTGTGAACAGATAACAGGTGGTTTTGTCAGATGCACGTGAGGTTTGCTGGACTGACTGTTAATGAAATTCTGGAAAAGATGTACAGACATTGGAGCACATCTCAGATCACGCTGAGTGTCGTCCCTCAGAGTGTGACAGGAACATGTGTTGACAGTTTGGCTATAGTTGACAAAGTCATGCTGTGCAAACCTGATGCACGCTCTTAGGTACTGCAGGCTTCTCTACTTAAGTCTGCTATTTGGACTTCAGTAGATTGTATCAAATGTTATTTCTTGTTTGATAGCCACAAGTCTCTTATTTGTACATGTCATATTGATTCTGCTAAGAACACGTGGAGCTGAATCACAGTTGGTCTTTTAGCTGGTAAATGGTTCGGTTCCCAGACAAAAACTGTACATCATGATTGGTCTGAAGAGCCCAGATGACCCAGTCAAACACATTTGTGCAATTTCTCAAAGCAATGGTGAAGTGCAAAAGAAAAGAAATGTACAAATGAAGTTATATCAATAATAGTCTATGCATACAAATACAACATAAATGTACATTTTTCAGTTTATTTGATGAACAATTTTGTAGTCAAAGTAGCCAATTATTTTATTTCCCTCATCTATGTTGTTACCACGTTAATTACATCCTCTGTCTTTCTCGCTGAGTGGGTGGGGCTGCTGTCCCTCCCCCTGCATTCCTCCACAGCTCGTTCTAGCAGCAGCTTAGCTGATGACTAGTGTCCAGCGGCTTGTTGCTACTTGTTGCTGGTGCTACTGTTGAGTAGTACCAGCAATTTAACACATATTGGTGGGACAATTTGTAGTTTTCCTCTTCTTCTTCTCGCCTAGTTTTTCAGCTCCTCTGTTTTCGCTTTTGTTTCTTTCTTTATCAAACAAAACTGTTTTCTACAAGCGTGCAAGGACTGTAGAGGGGGGTGGGTGGAGGAGCTGGGGGTCGACTCTGTCATGAACCGCAGTTCGTGCACACAATCCAAAAACAGACTCGAGCAAGTACAGATTTTATCGTTTTAACAAAAGTCGACCCCGAACAACCGAGGAAGCAAAATCGCAGAACTGAAGGAAACCGGGACAAATCACACAGAAGCCGTAATCAGGACCGTGGGAGGCTGCAGGAGAAAGGGGAGAAGATTACTACTGAGCAGGGAGATTGAGGGACATTACTATATGGGGGAAGCGTGTCCGTGGAAAGTGAGTCAGAGGAGGCAGGGATGAGGGCGGATGGTGCACTTAGAGATCCGAGCAGGCAGGAGACACAAAAGGTAGTAACCTGGGCACACGGAGGCAGAATTAACACAGTTCATGTAACACTTATATATATACAAAGCTTTGCAGGGAGCCTAGTTACCACTGAGGGTGACTAACAGACTTGCGTGGAGCAGCCGTCAGCGCACGGTTAAATAGTCCTCCTGGCGCCTGGAATGGGATGCAGGTGTGATGGTGATGGCCCAGCCACGGACCATGACAGAGGCAGTGACTGCTGTGTGTACTGGTTATCGTTAAAAGTATTTAAAACTGAAGTGATCAGTTTAAAAACGGTTTGATTAAAAAATGAAAACTAATGAGTTAAATGAATGTAATCATGAGCGTGGATGCAGAGATGGAAGCTTTGTGGTAACTTTTGGATAAGATCACACATTCCTAATATTCCTGTGGAATTTAGCACCATGTAAACTTCCATGAGACCTGACTTGTATTAAAGATGATTAAGTTTGTCCATTTCTGTTCCTGCTACGCCCAGCAGCTCATTTCTGACCAGGTGTCGTTGCTAGCTTCTTTCTTTTGTCTTTATCTGAATTTTGTCGGCCTGTTTCTTTGTGTCTCACATCGAGCTCTGTGACACTGAAAAGGTTACGTTGCCAGTTTTTCATTTCACCAAGTATGAAAGTTACAGATAAACGTTGAATTAGTTCATTATTATACCCTTCAGAAGGCAGAGACAGTGATGGACATGCAACATGCAAACAAACACTCAGAGGTGATCTTTAGATGTCATATTGTAGTTGTTCTGCACACCATACATATCACTCATTGTTTTCTGAAGTCACACAAATGTGTCAGTCTGTTTATCTTCACACAAACACACACAAAGCAGCTTTGAAGTGTCAGTCACGAGGAAAGAATCTGTAATGGGAGAATGACACAGCAACCATTTACTCGTTGCTCCGGCTGTGTCGTCCTTTCCTGATACAGCCGAGATGAAGATGCTGTGTTTTGTGTTCTTTTTGAATATTATGATAGCGAGAGGAGTTCATGTTTTTAATTTTGTTCAAATAAACTCATTTACTGAGGTTTATTTTTTGTTCCTCTCAAAGGATTCCCATCTTCTTGCATGTAAATGTGCCACTCACAGCACTATTTAACTATACACACACTGCTATATGTGTTTATTACTGGGCTCAGTCAGATTGATTTAGGCTTTGTCATCTGCTTGGTGCACATGAAGAAGCAGAAGATGAGTTTCACCTGAAAAACACGCTTTGATTGGACGACCATGCAGGCTTAAAAAAGCACACTGCTTACTTTTCCAGTGAAATAAACACATGATGTGGGACAGTGTTGTCTGTGACCTGTTCTGTCACAGTGGCTTTGACAACAAGACATCAAAACCAAACGAGTGCGATCATCATTTTTTGTGTTCAAGACTGCGTGTCTCCATACTTCCATTAAAAAAACTTGTGGGTGTAATTGTTACTTACTGAATAGTAGGGGTGGGGGGAAAATGGATACTGTGTAGCATGGTGATATTTTGTTTGTTAATAATGTATGGATACAGGGACAGCAGAAATCGATACTTTGTTACAAAAAGGTTTTTGTGGAATGGAACATGCTCTGACGTCCAAATGTGTTTGACATTTTTGGCAGCAATAAACATGACAGTTTACTTATTTTAATTTAAGACATGTTTTATTTTAATTAAGTTTAAAACTTTTTTATTTAATGTAAAATTATATTTTGTTGTAATTTACTTTCAAATTCTTCAGTTGCTGAAGGGGCTGCATAGTTTTCATAAACTGCATAGTTCAGAATAGCTATAATTGTACCAGATGGTTGATTCAGTTAAGTTGGACTAGACTGTAATACAAACCGTTCAGTTTGTCAACAATCAAACTGAAATGAGAGAAAGACTGAGTGTGAGACTTTGATATTAGAGAAAATGAATATTGATAAAGTTTACCTTTATGTACAGAATCTGAATATCGCAAAATATTTTAAAAAATTGCAATAATATCGTATCGTGGGATGTGTGGTGATTCCCACCTCTACTGAATAATGTATAATGTAACCTTGAAATTACTGCTCTTTACATGTAGCCTCTGAACATAGGCTGATACGTCAGCCTAACCAACAGCTGATATGCATTTCACTCATGTGTTGTCTCTCTGTCCCCTTCTAGCCATCAGACCCAGACAACATGCTGGGACCATCCCAAGATGGCTGAGCTCTACCAGTCTTTGGGTAAGAAACTTCCTGCTTAGGGACCTTTTTGGTCTTTTTGACTAAAGTCTTTGAAACAGGTGACTCCACATACTGGAGAAGATGGGAAAAGATGCTTGGTCATCGTCTGATTCTCTGTGTTACTGTAGGATTTCTGCCTCACAACACTAAACACCTTCGAGGTGGCTGTTATAGACATAGAATTGAATTGAGCTGAAGAAGCACTACTGGTTGAAGTGAAAACACTGATAAAACTAATGCTCTCTTCCTCGTATTCCTTTCTCTAGCCGATCTGAACAATGTTCGGTTCTCAGCCTACCGCACAGCCATGAAGCTCCGACGCTTGCAGAAGGCTCTCTGCTGTAAGTAAATACACTTCTCCTGCATCTGTGTCACACAGGGACGTTTAAGTCCTTTCCTCCCAACACAAGTGTGTCTGTTATTGTGTTGATACCCTCCCACACACCTTCTTCTCTTTCTGCTCTCTCTGAATTTTGTCTTGACCTTCTGTGCACTATTACTCTTTTACTCTCTGTACTCGGCCTGTGTGTCCATGTGAGTGTATCAGAATCCTTTTTTTTTCTTTCTGGGTCTGGTGTTGGTTTGGGTTGCTGTTGTTCCAGTAACAGTAACAGACTATTTAACAAAATGTTACAGATTTACAAATGTAAGAAATAGCACAATATATTGACATCAACATGACTGAGTAGAAAAGAGAGAGTGCAAGCGGGTGTAGCTATTGCAGTGTTCACAGTGTGTTAGGTGGATGTTGTACAGGGAGCCACAGGCAGGAATGACTTCCTGTGTCGGTCAGTGGTGCATCATGGGTAATCTCAGTCTCTCACTGAACGAGCTCCTGTGGCTAGCCAGCACGTCATGGAGTGGGTGGGAGGTGTTACCCAACATTGTCTTTATCTTGGACAACATCCGCCTCTCCAACACCACCTTAAGGGAGTCCAGCTCCACCCCCACAACATTGGCCTTGTAGATCAGTTTATTGAGTCTGTTGGCATCTGCGACCCTCAACCTGCTGTCCCAGCATGCAACAGCATAGAGGATGGCACTGACCACAACAGACTCCTGAGCGTTGTCCGACAGATGTTGAAGGACCTCGGCCGCCTCAGAAAAAAGAGACAACCCTGGCTCTTCCTGTAAAGAGCCGTGATGTTTTTAACCCAGTCCAGTTTATTGTCCAAGTGTACGCCAACGTATTTATAATCCTCCACAATGTCCACATCCACCCCTGGATTGATACAGGGGTCAAAGATTTCCTGGTCTTCCTGAAGTCCACAGTCAATTCCTTGGTCTTCCTTTGCGTGGTTAGTCCAGTTAGGCCAGCTGAATTAGTGTAGCTGGTATTGTTGTCACCTCTGGCAAGGCGAGATACATTCACCGAACTTTAGAGCCTCAGCACAGTTGTACATTTCAACCCACAAGTATTCATGTCCATAAATATTGATGGGATGCTAGCTTAAAAATCCAGATTGCATTTTTGTGACCGTGAGCTGACAGTGAGCTGACCTACAGCGTAATCATGTGTCAACACCATGTGCTAACAGAGCATGGTGACATCTAACAGCAGACTGGAGCCATTTCTGGCTGTAGTTGCAAATTGCGGTCAAGTGAACTAACATGACTGAAGCAGTCCAGTGACCACAATGATACAATGGATCTTGTTTTCTTCCTAAATTAGCACGTGTATCTTCTCCCCCTTTATTCGTCCATCTGCACTTTTCACCTGGATTTGCTTTGCTGTTGTTTGCTGAGCCAGGTTGAAGACACACAGATTAATGTTTCAAACCTAACCCAGGGGTCAACGAATATTGTTCACACATAACAGACTTGTTGAGACAAATAACAGTGATCTATCTTTACTATTTTTACTAGCATCAACAGCAACTGGTTAATTCTGTCAAACATGCCAAAGTTAACAGTTTGACTGGTTTAACAGGGTGATTCCCAAAGAGCTGTTGTCTTAAAATGTCAGCTGCTCTAAAACACAATTTGTTTCAATTTCTTTAGTTGAAGTGACAAAAAGTGGCAACAATAACAATGTTAGAAATACACAAAATAGAGTCAGGCATTTTATGCAATCCAATATGAAGAATTACCAAGATGTTCCACATGAACATAACCTTTTTAAGGTGTTCCTGAGCCCTCCTTACTCCAAACACTTGATTTCTACAATTGTGCATTTGTTTGATGACAGCATTGAAGTGCAGACTACGAGGATAAGAGACGCTTGGAGGGAGGAATTGGGCATAGAAATATCAGAATCAATGTGGGACAAATGCTTATCAAAGATTCATTCCTGCTCTGTCAACAGCAGACATCAATTAATACAATTTAAAATTGTCCATCGGCTACATTATTCCACAAAATTTATCCTTCAACTTCCCCCATATGTGACAGATGTAAAACATCAGAGAGCACATTGGCTCACGCTTTCTGGCATTGCCCCTCATTGACCAATTTTTGGTCCAAAATATTTGATTGGTACTCTAAAGCTCCATCTCACCCAACCCAGAAATTGCAGTTTTTGGTTGTGTACGTTCCAGAACTATCCCTGCGACTGTGCGGGTGCCAATCGACCTCGGAATGATGATTGTGAAAAGACTTAATCTAAAGGAATGGAAGTCCGCTGCTCCTCCCTCCTTCAGTGTCTGGCTCAATGACGTGTTATCAGTCATTCAACTCGATACCTGCAGCAAATGTTTTCTCAAAATCCTGGACTCCGTTTTGTGCTCACCTTGAGAAAGCTCACGTTGTATAAACATGTACCATGGCACTGCAATTTCCCTGTTTAT